CCAATCCCCACACGGCGGGGCCGCGAATCGTGACGTGACCAGGGGGCAGATGGGAGGGGGAGGGGCGGCCGGTCGCGGGCGTCTGACGAGGGTGATTTTTGTGTTTCTGTTCCACCACCTCCTGCCCAGGCAGCGTCCTCGCGAGCTCGGCGCTCCGGGGCCGTCCTCTCCGGACCCCTGGCGGCCAGCAGAAAAGGCAGCCCGCGGTGGGAAGAGAGAGAGCGTGCGGTCGGGAGCTGTGGCTTCGCGTGTCGTTCCGCCGGTTCTGGCCCACCACGCCTCGGCGCGGCGCGCTGTTCTCAGCTTTTCTCAGCTTCCCGCCCCGCGGAGCGGAGCGACATGCTGTCCGCCTGCAGGGCATGGCGTGTCGCCAGGGCCGCCGCCGCGACACGCTGAGCAAAAGCTCATGGCCGTGTGGGGGGGGTGGGGGCAAACAGCTGGGCAGATTCTCCAAATATCAGGCGGTCGCAAACATGGATCAAGGGGGCGTGGATCAGCGACGGGTCCCGTCTCCATGGGACATCGTCGAATTCCGCCGCCGAACGAGGCGGCACCGGCCGCATTCTGGGGAGGGCACCTCCCCTCGGGCCGAACGAAAAAGGGGGGACAGGGAAAGGGGGGGGGTACGAAATCTGCTGCGTGCAGCTGGTTTCGGCCCCGCCGCCGGGCCCCTTCCTCGATATAGATGGGCGCCTCCCGGCGCCGGGAGGCGCCGGGAACATCAGCTGCGTATACGCTGATTCTCACCCCCCCCGTTGCTACCCCCCCCCTTCCGCCGGGTTCGGTGCGATCCCCCGATCCATGGCTTTGGCGACCGCGCGCCAAGTCCACGGATCGCAGATCCATGTTTGTCAGGAGGGAAAACACACACAGACACAATTTTAATCGTCGACTTCGAGGAAAAGATTGGAAACATGGGAGGTTGGGGCAAGACAAAAGCCCGGAAAGCATGGGAAAATATGGGGAATCCTTCTATTGGTGTGTGTTTATTTGTGTGTCCCAGGGCCCCTTCAGTCTGCGCGCCCCCGCAACATGCCATGGGGGGCGGTCGGCGAGCCGCCCCGCCCCCCCCATGCCGGCACTCGGGCCGCCCGCGGGCCCCCGGCTCTGGGGCAGGGCGGCGTCGCTGGGCGGGGCCTCGCTCGCTTCTGCGGGCTTCCGCCGAGGAGGAGGACGAGGAGGAGGAGGAGGAGGAGGAGGAGGCGGAGGAGGAGGAGGAGGAGGAGGGGGAGGAGGAGGAGCGAGGAGGAGGAGAGGAGGAGGAGGAGGAGGAGGAGGAGGAGGAGGAGGAGGAGGAGGAGGAGGAGGAGGAGGAGGAGGAGGAGGAGGAGGAGGAGGAGGAGAGAGGAGGAGGGAGGAGGAGGAAGAAGAGAAGCCCAGTGTTGAGTCGGGCCCGTCCCTCTGCAGGGGGAACATTCCAAAATAGTCAAACAATTGTCTGGGAGCTATTGTTTCTATTTTTTTTTAGCATTATTGGAGTATTTTTGGTGTGTGTGTGTGTGTGTGTTTTATTTTTCGTCCAAACTCGGCCTGAAGGGGGACAGGCCCGACTTAAGCCCAGTGCGCGATGCCCGGATCACGATGCCCTGTCTGGAGCGACCCATGCACGGCAGGTTCGCGCCGCGCTGATGCGGCCACGATGTCTCGCGGGCGTTCGGGGTTGAACCTCGCTGGTTGCCCAGATCTGCCTGCATCGAGCCATCTGCGATGTCGGACAATTCGAGGATCAGAAAGCGCCACGTACATACATGTTCGGAGCTCCGCGCGAATTTCTCGAGGCGGCTCCGATCCAAGAGATCCGCGCGGAGCTCCGACATGTTTACGCACTTCCCTCTTCCTCTGAAGCGGAGATCGTTCCAGGTTGAGTGATCCGCGCGATGTCAGAAGCCACTGCCTCGGCCGTCACGACCCCAGACATACGACGTTTTGTTTTTCAATGCGCGGTTCTTTGAAGTCCTGACCCTTTCCCCAGTGCCAGTTTCTCATCCTGACCCGTTTTCTGATGGTCACGGAGCTTGGCGAAGGCCCCCGGAGGCCGAAGGCGGTCAAAAACCATCCGTCTCCATCCGGGCCCCAGGCCCGCACAAGTGCACAAGCAAGTCTGGGACACGAGCATGTCTGGGACACCCGCGTGCTGGAGGCCGGGCCTGTCTCTGACGGGCTCTGGGGCTGCTTGCGCTCTTCGCCGTCGTGGATGGTGGCCCACCGACCACGGCCGCGGCAGCTCGCTCTCGTCGACGTCGAGAAGGGCATCAAGATGTTCGACAAGGAGGGGCGGGTGGGAGTGGAGTGACGTGTGCTAACTCAATGTGTGTGTTTGTGTGTTTGCCCCGTTCGCGGCTTGCCCTGAATCGCTCGAATTCATGTCCCTGGTCTGGTCGTCTGCGCTGGCTGTGTCGTGTGTATGTGAGCCCGCGTCGCGGCACATCCTGAAGGCCTACACTCAGGAGGGGAAAAAACACAGACACAATTAATCGTCGATTCCCCCGAAAATATTGGG